CAGTAAATGGGGACCGTCCTGTATCCCCATCGGCGTTCAGGACCTGGTACTCGGTGCGCTTCACGAACGGCACTTCCAAGTTGTGAGAGACAGGGCAAAGGTCTTCCATCTTCTTGCCTCAACACAAGCCGACGTGGCAATAGAGCCCTTGCACAACATCAAGATCATTCAAGACTGAGCGGGCCTGTGAAAATATCAATGGCCACGATGTGGGCCTTTGCATGCCCGTGCTTTCCGGTCTTGGAGGTAGAGACCTCGACGCACCTTTGGCCAAGCAAGCTCTTCGATTGTTGCCGGGGAGAGACTGAGAGCCACATTTGCAGCACAGGCACTTGCAGGGACGACCCTTGATCATCAGGTGGGAACCCTTACGCACCTCGCCGGCCTGCAAGACATGATGTGCTACACGGATGGGTGCTCGTCGTGTTCTCGTGCAGTCTCGGCAATGTGTTGTGCCTGCTGCGGGTAGGTGTGCGCCGCACCGGCATCACCGGTCTCGAAATCGTGATCCTTCGCAGGGCATGCAGCAGAGGCAGCTGCTCCAACGCAAAGCAGCTTTATCGGACTTCCTCGTCCGCCATGTTGCCGTTTGCCTGTCAAACTGTCAAAGCAACATATTCCTAATTGATCCCATGCATAGCCAAGCACGGTCCAAAGCACCTGCACGCCAATAGAGAGATGCCGCGAGGAGGCTACTTTGAGCAAAAGTCGGGGGGCCACTTCATTTTCAGCTTTCCCGTGCATTCTACATCCGGCAGACGCTGTTTCCTTTTCTCGCCAAGCATGGACGTCTAATACGGCCCAGGACAGTGCGCTGCCCTAGATGTTTCCGGGGCACTCCCTCTCTGCTTTTCCTGGGTTTTGGCACAATGGCACCAACACTGACAAGTATCACACGATGTCGCTGTGAAAAAACCATATTCCTTGAGTTTTGGTACATGGGAATCCGGCACTTGGGGGTTCCGAAACTTCCAGGAGCAAGATGCAATCCATGGTTGTCTCGACGGGCATGGCAACCTGAGCCGGAATCGTCGTGCGATCTTATTTAGACTCCAGTATGCGGAGCCGGATGCGTCGTGGTGCGAAGAAGGACATGCATGCGACATGACTACGCTGTTCAGCCAGCAACTAGTAACTACTGGAAACCAAAGTGCGGCAAAATGCAAAGCAAAGCCTTCCTGATCAGGCGAAATACACATGAAAACACAACACGCAACAAGTACTTAGTAAAACCTCAGCAAAAACTGTGTAAAGTTTTGTTCTCTGTGTAGTTAGTTATCATGTGCAAACGGCCGCGAGGGTTGCTGAAACTGCGATGGAAAATTCTTCTTCTGGCCCTGGGTGGGAGGGTGGGTGAAAACAGAAGCATGACACAGGCTTGATTGAATCCATGTGTGTTTTTTGTGCGCATGGCATGAAAACTCTACACAGGAAAACACAGCTGAAGACAAAAATAAACCACAACCGCCGTTCTTTGTGTAGTTACAGTTAGTTATCATATGTAAACGGAATGAACTTCACACCCGCAACAGTTGCTGAAACTGCGATGCGTTCGGAGGCGAAGTGAGAAATTCCGGCAATGCGATGCCAAGGAAAATTCCCCCTTTTTGCCACGCTCGAGAGCTCAGTGGCTCCCCCCCAACCGAGACGAAGGGCTGTGTGTCTGCTAGAACAAGTAAGTCAATTTCCTCCACGGACGCGATCCGTGCTGGCGCGTTTTGTGCTGCTCAAGGGCAAAAGCACACTCAGCTGATGTCTTTGAGCAAGGTTTTTGCAGTGTTTCCAAATTTCAGGTTAGAACTTCTGGGACAAGGAGCGGGGAAGAGGAGGAAGAACAAAACGTCAGAACTTCGGGAAGAACCTCGTTAACCCCACCTAAGCTTCTCAAAAGCCTTTTTTTCCCTAAAACTTCCTCTCGCTGTACGTTCCTCTGCAGCTTCCCTTTAAGCTCCTGCATTTTGGTCAACTGTGTTGAAAAATCAAATTGTTTTGAGAAGATTTGTTCAATATTTCTTGCCAGCCCTCGAAACAGGCTTCTAGAGTTGTTCGTGCATCTGGCTCTGCGATCTACGCCGTTATTTTACGTTTTCTTGTTTTACAGCGTGCGGCCCAGGCAGTGTGCTCAATTTATTGTTGTGTTTGTGCAATGCACGCGATATCTTGTTGCAACAATGCCGTTTTGAGTGGACTGTCTGAAAGCGTCTTGCTGAGTTGATTTGCTGGATGAAAAAAGCAGTTGATCCCAAAAGTGTCACGTTTTCTTATTTTCCAGGGCGGGTCGGGCGGGACAAAAA